TTATATTTAACATTATATATTTAAACTAATGTTTTTGTTATTCATATTAGCCCGTATGTATAAATTACTCTTAAAATTATTATGCATCATTATATCTAATGATATATATTTTAACAAATTCTCTTTTAAATTATTAGTTTATAAGTATAAGCTTTATTTTTATTATTCTATTTTTATATCTAATGATAGGTTATATACAAACAAATGCATCTTTAAATTATTAGTCAGTAAGTATAAATCTTAATTTAATTAACTCTATCTAAAGATAAATATTAACATTTCTGTTAAATTATTAGTTGGTAAGTATAAGCTTAAGATATTTATTTAATGATTTTTAAAATATGAATCTTATGTCTGATCATAAATATTTTGATGAATAACTTTGTTAAATTGTTATCTGGTAACTATCAACTTTATTTTAGTCATTTTCTAAAATTATTAATTATTAATGTTTAAGCCATAGTTTTTATATTTAATAAATATAAATTTTGACAATACTTATGTTAATAACATATTTATTTTTAATTAATGCTTATGTTGATAATTAGTCCATAAGTATTGATTGTTATTATATATTAATTATTTCTAAAATTATTATTTAATAATTTATTTGTCCTATTATAATCTTATAATAATACTCATCGGATTATTAGCAAGTAAGTATAAGCTTAAACATATTTATTTATCTTTATATTTAACGATATATTTTAACAAATACCTTTATCAAAATACTAGTGGGTAAGAATAAACTTCACTTTAATTACTCTCAAAATCGTAATCTAATGTGATATTTATATATATTTATATATACTTCAACAAATGCATCTTTTAAATCATTAGCTTGTAAGTATAAGCATTTTTTTTATTATTATTGCATCCTTTATATCTAATCAAAATATTTTAACGAAACGTTTTTTAAATTGGTGAGTAAATATGAGTTTATTTTGATTATTTCTAAAACTTTTATTTAAAAAATGCAATTACAGTTATACTTCAAAAACAATTCATACTGAAAGAGACAATATAAAAAGTTTTTAATTCTGTAGAATATTTTATTGACTTTTTTTTTTTAGCTATTTTTTCACTTAAAATATAATCAAGCAACATAAACTAATTTAGCATATAAAGGTTTATGATTTTAAGAAAGTTGTTTAAAAGTGTTAATTAAGTGAGTCTGTGTATGCATTATAATATAGACATATTGTTAATACTATAGTAATACTTAAAATTAATGAATATTCTAATAAATAATTTATTTAAATATATATTTTATTTAATAAAATATAATATAAAGAATAAAATAAAATATAAAAATAAACTGGCATTGTTAATCTCTTCTTTTAAATATGAGTTCAACTGGATATGCAGTCATTTGCAGTTTAATTTTTAAACCATTTTTATGTATACTGTTTGGTGCTAATGAAATATCATATTTACGCACTATTAATAAATAAAATAAAATAAAATCAAAAATTATTAATATCAATGTATGTACATAATAAATAAATTTCAAAGTTTAAATACTTACATAATAAACACAATGCAATTCTTTGTTCAATAAGTGAAAAGTTATTTCCCAGACACCTATTTTAAAGAATTTAAACAATATTATTTAATATAAATATAGCACATTATAAAATAATAAAGGATTAAACTAACATTCTATATCCATAGCCAAAAGGCATCCAGAAATTATTTTCGCCTGTGTGTTGATTTTCAAATCTTTCAGGCAAAAACTTTTCAGGGTTATTCCAAATCTTTGGAGAATGATGCATTCCATATAAAAAGAGCTCAATTATTGTTCCAGCTGGAATTACAGAGTTCTTAAACTTTAAGTCTTCAGTTAATTCACGAAATATGCTAGGGACCTATATTACAAAAACACAATCATTAGAAAAATAGACATTGATCTTAAATACAATTAAGTACAAATTTAATATATACTGGTGGATATAGTCTAAAAGATTCATTAATGATCATATTTAAATATTTTAATGAGTTTTGCTGTTCTATTGACGGTGTTAAATTATCTCCAAGTATTCTTAATATTTCCTCTCTAGCTTTTTCCTGAACATCCTATATAAGGATATATGACTGTTTAATAATTGAATAATAATGCTGATAGACAAAAATTAATTATACCTTATGAATCGATAAAAGATATAATATAGCTGTTAAAGCGTTTAAGGCTATTTTATAAATAAATTAGTTAACTATATAAAACTTTACCTCTTTTTTAAAACATATGTTGTTTTACTTACTTGTATTATGACCTGCCATCATAAAAACTGCCAAATTGTACTATTAAAATTAAGGTTATTAAAATTCAATTTAGGTTGATAGATATCCAAAAAAAGAAAATTCAAACATACTCTCAGTTCGCTATCTGATAGCATTTGATCATCATTATTCTTTATCATATACTCTAAAAGATCTCCATTAGACTTTCCAGCAGCTATAGCTTCGTGCTTTTTTTTAATGATTTCTTTAAACAAACCAATTAATTTGTTAAAGTGACTAAAGGTTTGTTGTCTTATGCCCGGTATATAATCAATTGGAAAAACAAATCTTAATGGATTTACAATAAATTCATGGACTTTATTGTACGTTTTTACATAGATATTATTCGGATTACCAAGATTCTAATTAAATATATATTAGAAAATAAAATGGCTTAATTAACAACTTTCATTTATACTTACATTAAAGTCAAAATCAAAGGCGACTTTTCCTAGAGTGTCTAAAGTAAACCTATGAAAATTTTTTATAATAGTTTAAAGAATTAACAATATAACATTCATAAGGAATAATATTACCTTTGCAATAGATCTCTAATTTCAACAGGCTTGTCATCTATTTTTTCTAAAACACGCATCAGCTTTAATCCAGTATCAACAAAGAGATGTATTGGTAAAGCTTTGAATGCAGGATTACATATTCTCCTAAATAAATTAGCATTTTTATCAAATTAAAAATAAAATAAAATAAAGATTTTAAAATGCAGACTTAAAAATACCTATGTCGTTTCCAAATCTAGAAATTGATTTACCAAAAAAATCAAAATCATAATTAATATATAAAAAGTGGATATTTTTTACCGTCCAATAATGTACACTAAAAATTTCCAATACTTACATCGCCATCTGAGAAAACAACATTGGTTCCAAAGTATTCTGAAATTACGGTATTTGGCTCAAAGCTAATTTTGATATAAACATCTGTTACGTAAATAAGTTTGAAATGTCATGAGTTAGAATAACGTAATAAAAAATTCAAGTTGCTACTCAGCAATATACCCGGTTGTAACAAAATGTTCTTTATAGTCTCTGGATCGGTTATCATGCAAGCCCACTTTCCTTGGAAGTTATACTATGTGAACAGAATGTTATTTAATAAAGTTCCAAGTTTAGGTATGTCGACAAATTTACCTTTACGATTCCATCATTTTCAAAATATTTTTTATAGTTTGAATAATACTTGTCTTTTCCACCTTGTTTCGTAATAATGCCTAAAAGTATACTAAATAGTGAAATTGTATGAATATTTTTAAGGTCATCAAGTAGTTTGGAGGTTATGTACTTGTAAATTAGGGTCATGAAAGAAACAATCACTAAAAAAACCCAGAAGGCCATGTTGGTTAAATTTTGCAATTTTTGCTAAAAAATTTTTTATTTCTAAGCGATTATATAAAAGACTTGTTTGTATATGACGCACGCACATATCGCTATTTAATCACGGATTTTGCATAACATTACTATAACAGGAGGAACCGTTGATACGTCACAAAATAGTTACACAATTGATGAATAATTTTTTATATTATTTTACAATACTTTTTTGGATGGCTCGCTTGACTTATCTTTTATATGAATTTTGAAAATGGTTAAACAAACATGAATCATTTTGCTTTACAACATATTTTTTGATCGTCTTTTTGTAAATTTCGCAATTTGATTGGTTGACTAATCCGTAGTGAGTGATCTGTGTAACGGAGAACGAAAATCATATCTATATTTGGACGGTTTCTCCTGTTATGTTCTGGGTAAAAAAATATTACTTCTCCAAATTTATACAACGTAATCATACGAAATTTCATTCTCAAGCGATTGCAAATTCCTATCGCATAAATTCCGTGCCCCTGTGTAGAACCAATCATTGAAGCGTCATGACCGCCGTACTGAGATCGACGAATTTCTTAAATTACAAGATTCCTGGCGAGCAAAACGTCCATAATTATTTTAAAATTGTAGAAGCCAGAAATTGGCAATTAAAGCACTACTTGAGTTATCGTTTGAAAACTGATGAGAATATATTACCGTGGGACACGGTTTATAGTGATTGGCAGAAGTCACTCAACTTAGTTATCAAAGACTGCGCTAAAATAGTTCCCAAAACTGTATCAGGTTTCTGCAAAGATTTAGTTAATGTTTGCGACACTTTCGAAGGTTCCGTCGTTCGTCAAAGCTGTGAGAATTTGTATACCGAGTTCTATCAACGGAATGTTGATTCCCAAATTGTTGAAAGACATCGACTTTTGGAAGCAACAATATTTTCAGAGCAAAATTTTGCGGAATTCATGCAATCGTTAAATAAAAAACGAATAGGTGAAGACATTGGAAAGGATTCGTCATCCGATGAAAAACGAGCTCGTTCCAACGAATATAATGGGGGCAATTTCGTAAGCGAATTGATTTGTATTTAAATCCTTGTTACGCGTAATATATTATTAACATTACTTATTCTAATTATCTCAAGCCTCAAACATGTGACACAGAAGAACTTGGTAACCAAGAAGAAGATGAAGAAGAACTTGGTAACCAAGAAGAAGATGCAGAAGAACTTGGTAACCAAGAAGAAGATGATGAAGAACTTGGTAATCAAGAAGAAGATGAAGAAGATGGTGTCGAATATGATACCGAAATAAGAAATTTATTAGACGAATCAGAAACCTGTTCGCAAGAATCCAGTACAATTTTGAATAATTATAAAATCTACAGACGTGAAGTAATTAATACCCTTTCGGAAAATGGTATAGTGGACTTAAGTCCGACATCTGAATTTGTTCTCTTGTACCTGGAAGAAGCGGAGTACGATACATTGATAAAAGAAGTTTTTGATCCAATCGATAAAATCTTTCCAAAAGAAGGGGTTGAATTTCTAACCGATTTCTTTTCGAAGGTGATGTTATTTAACTAGTGTGCTTCGCTGGCAGATTGTAAATCATATGAATATCATATCGCGAATTAAAAGAATATGAATATGTGATCTGCTCGATTTGATAATAGATATTAAATTTTTTGTCTCATTTACAGAAACTGAGCGAACAACAATGGGAAGACAAAATTGAAAATTTAATGAAAGTCGATTCCGAACAAACCAATTTTATTATCAAATTAAAAAAGGTTGATAATAGAAACGTTACCGATATTGTAAGTATTCAAGGAATGCTTTATATAAATACAGTCGTCCTCCTCTACAGTGACCTATATAATCACGCCCTCTTTATAAGCACAAATTTTGAAAAATTATTGGCAATATATTTATTAAAAAACTCTATATAATCACATTACACTATTAAAATTTTATAATCACATCTTTTTTATGTTAAACAAACAGCATGATTAGAAGAGGACGACTGTATATATATATATATATATATTCTAATATTTCACAATTTCTAGTCTCGACTCATACAAATTAATGTCAGATAATCCACTTAAAAATAAAGAAATGACAGAAGAGGAGTATATGAATATCTACATTCATCCAGTATTAAAAAAAGCATTGATCCGGTTCTCTGATATTAGATATGTTCCGTAAGTATAGGTTGCCATCGGGTTTTCCTCATTACCAATGTAAATAATTTCATCATACTCTTGTAGAGGTAATAAGGCTATCAAAGCCTCCGCTTATCGAAAAACAGTGATGAAACAAAGAGGAGCTGCAGATCGGGCGGATGGGATAGCATACACTTCAAACAGTCAAAATTCATATGAGATATCCATCACAGAAGGGAGCCGACCGTACGTTACTGACAAAAATAAAGAATCCAGTGATTTCATTCAAAATGCGAGAGCAGCCAAAGACCTAATTAACTTTGCTGTAACGCAAGAGGTATTACGCAAACGGCCACTTCCATCTCACTTTCGAACATTTATGGTTCAAGTTATTGAGTTTAATTTACGATTCTATTTGATGGATTATCGCAGTGTGTATATATTGATACCCAATATATGTTAAAAAAATTATGAATTAACTTTATTCTTTTTATAAAAGCTCAATATTGTATCTTTGAAATCGAAACATGCGAAATATCTTCAGATTGGAATGAAACCCTGCAATTCACTTCTTTTTATAGGGCAATTATAACATGGGCGGTAAGCCATACACTGCTGTGTGTAAGAAATCTCTTTTACTGATTTACTTTTTGTTTTACAGTTATTGGTGGGAGAAGCTGATAAAAAGTTTCAGGAGTCAAGAAATAAAAAGAGTTCGCGCCTAAGTAACTGTCACAATATCCGAAAACTATTAAAGCTTTCACACAATAACGAACGCGGTGGTACAAAAAGAGACATGACGATGAATAGGATTTTCTATACTTCGCAATAAATCACTTGCCAAAAAAAACATTGGTGGAATTCTTAAGACTTTTATACAGTATTGTAAAATGTGCTTATTTATCTAAGGATCTATAATTTTGGCATGTTACCTTTATCTAATTTGCCATTTCGCGCATTTGATTGATTATAAATAGTAACCGTATAAATTATGACACAGGATCATTGACAAACCACATGTTTCCGAAATTTTCCGACCATTAATTGTTATATGAAACACAGAAAATATCGGATCAGGTATGTGAAAACAAAACAAACTGCCGGCTTTTTCAAAAAATCATCTATAAAATCACCTGTTTCTTAACAAAAAAATTCCTTGCAGAATTTTGTTATACATAAGCCTTCTCCAAATGTTCACCTTTATATTAACGTCAAGAGTTAATTTTTCATTCGAAAAATGCTGCCTTCGTAACTTGTAATTGATATATTTGCTTTATAACACATAATTTGCTTCATGTAACTCACTATTTGAAGTAATTTGTTTTTGTAATTATTGAAACATTCCAGGTAGATATTATTGTAGAAATGGGATTGGAGTTGAAAATGATGACAAAAATCCTGGATATCTGACTATTTTTTTTAGCTCAATCAGCAAACTATCCAATAAATTCTATATATTCAGTGAATCTATTTTTTGATTTTTGCAAAATATACTTTTTTACCAAAACATTAAAAAATAAATAGAATTTTTTATGTATTAAATCGCTAATTCAAATACATTTCAATCATAAGAGTTGTATTTATATATATTGCATTATTTAAATTATGAATTAATTTGCTTACTCCTTTCGAAATTATATTCATTCGAACATATATAACTGTGTTTTACAATCATAATTTTTCCATATCACATTATACCGATTATCTATAGAAATATACTTTAATTACAACAAGTGCACTTATGAGACAGAACCAGGGATGGCAACGGTTAGCTATTTTCGGCTAGTTGTTTTGTAGCCGTTGGCTGTATCTCGTGATCCAGTGATCCAATGGTATGATTTTAGCACCATTCGATTCATCTCAATGAGACAAATCGAATTGAGCAAAATCATCTAATTTGGATCACTGGATCATGAGATACAGTCAACGGCTAGTCAGCTATTGCCATCTCTACACAGAACTTAGTTGCTATTCTGAGAACACATAGTATATGTTTAAGGTGAGTTAATTTGCATTAGAATTACTGTGACGGATTATTGTAGAAAACTCTGTTCAGAACTCTGCTCGCTATCCTACAGTATACGGTTAGTTTTATTATAATTATTGAATTGTGTTTTATATTGTAAATTACTCTGAAAAAGAATTTCTGTTATGATTTACTATACAAATTTTTGTTACAAAACTTGCTATTCTGTTAACACACAGCATGTAGTTAAAGCTGCGTTAGTTTGCATTAGAATTATTGTAAAACATTTTGATACAAAACTTATGATTGAAATGTATTTGAAATAGCGATTTAATACATAAAAAATCCTATTTATTTTTTAATGTTTTGGTAAAAAAGTATATTTTGCAAAAATCAAAAAAT